GGCCGGGCAGCAGGGCAGGGAGGGGGGGGGGGGAGGGGGGGGCCATGGGGAGGGGTATCAACACACCCAGGCACCCTCTGCATTCAGACACACACACACACACACACACTGCCTCCCTCGAAGACACTCACAATGACAGACACACTTTTTGCACAAGCTCTCTACAGCCCCACATGCACACGCACACGCACACACACAGAGACAGACACACCCCTGCTGTGGCGAGGCAACCTTTCCAGGGAGGCTGCTCACCGAATGTCATAGCCGTACATGTCCTTCTCGGGACGCCCGTGGATGATCCAGTGGGCCAGCTCCTTCCCACAGCCCCCTCCGAGCATCATCCCTAATGAAGGACAGGAGAGAAGGCAAAGGGGGGGGGAGTCACAGGGATTGTTTTTTGGGGGGAGGTCCCCGCTGACACGGAGGCCTTGCACTGGCTGCTTTTCTGTGGGGTTCTGCCCTCCCCACGGGCAAAGAGCACCTGTGCTTCAGTGTACAATGAAATGGGCTCTCCCCCACTGATGACCCCCACTTCCTTTTTGGCCGTGAGGCTCTTTCTCTTCCAAACTATTTCAGTGTGCCAGGAGCAGAAGACCCTCCCTATCTTCCCCCCCTCCCTCCCCATGCAGCTGGGGAATCAGCAGGGTGGGAGCAGATCAAGGCAGAGACCGGGGGGGGCTGCACGGCCGGGCGAGAGGGCTATTCTTCCCTGGTCTGGTGGAATCTGGGATCGAGGTTCTGCTCCAGGCTGGAAATGGCTTGGAATGGCGCAACCCCCCCCCCCGGTAGTCCTGGGCAGCCAAGTCCACAGAGAGGATTTCTCCTGACCCCGGTCTCCCCTATCCCAAGGAGGGCGGTCTGTCCTCAGCCCCACTGCTTCCTTCCACACCGGCATCCAGAGTGCGCACCCCACCCTCAACGTCCCCCTGTCAACACCAGCCCCCCACCCGACCAAGCTGCCCGCCTGCCGCCAGGAGATAAGTTTGCTTCTTACCCGCACTGTTGAAACCACAGCCCAAGAAAAAACCCCGGACTTCTGGCGCTTCTCCCATGAGAGGCTTGTGGTCTGCAGTGAACGATTCTGCAAGGGCCACAAGATCGAGAGGGTGAGGGTGAGGGTGTGGGTGGGTGCCTCTGCCCAGGGCCCTCTGGCCGGCCGCTTGGCCTTCAGTCCCCACCCCTAACGCAGCCCCCACCCCCGGTCTGTGTCTGCCAGGGAGGACGCAGCCTCCCGAGGGAGAGGGTGGGTTTGGCTTCTGATGGAGCCCCCGGCCCCTTGCGCCGTTTGTCAAGCGTCACCGAGGCTTCCCACCTGGCGCTCGGCCCCGTTGCGAACAGGGCAGGGAGTCCTCCCCAGCAATGCTGGCAGAGCTGAGGAGCTTCTCTCCCCCACCCTCCAGAAAGTGCCACTGCCACGCTGGCCCACATTCCTTACCTGGGCCACAGACCGTGGATTTGATCCCCGTTCTCTCCAGTACGGGGACTCGGCCGATCGCGCCTTCAATGTGTTGTGTGAACACATCCCAGTCCAGATCAAAGAGGCCAAAGGCAAATTTGTCCGACACCTGCAAAGGCAACCCTGGGTCTCACCGGACAAGGGAGAGGATGGCAGGGGGAAAGCAATCCTGGTCCCACAAGAAGACCCTGGCTTCCTTCCTCGGCTGCCGGGGTCTCCCGCCCAGTGGGCTGTGCCGGTTGTAAGCTCCCTCCAGCCCCCCCCCCAATGGAGGTTGGAGAAGCATGGCTTTGGTGGAAGAGGAAGGCCCTGGAGGGGCTACCAAGACCTTGCCAGGATCAGCTCAGAAGAGCAGGAAGGGGTCGTGGGACGGCGGGTCCCAGCCGTCCTCCCCATGGGCCGTCCCACCTGGAGGGACAGGGGCTGGCCAGCATTGACCCAGAGGCCCAAGGAGAAGAAGTGCATTCGCGGAGAGGCTGCCGCCGACGTCTCATGGGGAGGGTCACAGCTGGGGGTCACAGTTGGGGATCCGCGGGTCCCAGCCGTCCTCCCCATGGGCCGCCCCACCTGGAGGGACAGGCGCTGGCCAGCACTGACCCAGAGGCCCAAGGAGAAGAAGCGCATTCGCGGAGAGGCTGCCGCTGACATCTCATGGGGAGGGTGACAGCTGGGGGTCACAGCAGGGGCCAGGCCGGGCCGGATCCCCGTCTTTATGCAGCTTCTTCCCTTAGGCTTTTCACGGCTGTCACGGGACTGATACGAACCTCCCTCTGCGGTGGGACGGGTCGCCCACAGCCTTGTTTATTTTATGAACACATCAGAATGTTTTGTACTCTCATTCCAGAACTGGCTTCCCACGCGGGGCCTAGACTGAAGAGTGCCGTGTAGGTTCAACAATAGCAGCAATCTTCCCCCCCCCCTTTGGATATTGATCTGTTTTTCTTCCTGCTGGTTGTGCCCCTCTAGGGGCCTTTTTTTCAAGAAGCTTTCTTGCCAAGAATTAATTTTGCCACTCTCCTTTTAAATCTGTCGGTAACTTTGGTGCTTGTTTCAAAATTTCTTAAACTGAAAATTATACTAGGAATTTTAAAATAGACGATATATTTGACGTTTAATTTTTTTAAACAGTATATGTATATATTGCCCTTGTTAAAAGACTTGGAAGTAATGGCGTTGTCTCAATCTACCCAAGAGGCCATTCCATCCCCTTCCACATGCAACTCCCAGACTCCTCTGGTCAGGATCCACAGCTTCAGGAATCCTGATGCCCCTCCACTGCCAGGTTGGGTCGGGCAGCGCTGCCCACACCCACAGGCAAAAAAAAAAATATCTTAACTTCAAAGGGTCTTGAAACAATATCGCCCCCAAAGTGTTGGAGAAACCCCCTTTTTGATCACCTGGTTCCACACCTCCGAATCCTTCCAGCAACAGTTTCCCACACCCTCCTTCCTTCAGAGAGCACTCACTCACCTCCTCCCAGAAGATGGGATTTGACTCATAGCCACCCACAGAAAGGGCATCGCCTTGGAGACGCAGATACACCGATGCATCATGATCCCGAACATTCGGCATGTTCTAAAAATACCCAGAGAGAAGAACTCCTAAAACTGGGGCTTGAGAGTGGAAAGGGGCTCTCCAGACTGGGGGTTCCTCCCCAGGAGCAGCTCAACAAATTCCCCCTTTAAAGCGTGCCTCTGATCCAACTTAAGCCATAAAAGGTCAGCCCAAGAAACCTGCAGATCTCTCAGCAGAGGCCACCATCCTACCAATGCCACCATCGGGGTACCTGAGCCACTTCCCAGTAGAAGGCTATTACATCTGGCCTTTCACAACGGAATTCTTCTGCGGGTCACCAGATGAGTGACTTTTGCTGATAAAACGGGAGATTCGTGGAAGACGCTCCAGACCGCTACGGTCACTGCCTGGAACTGGGGTGTTTTTATGTTCCAGGGAGAGAAAGTGGCCTTCTGCCAACCCAATGCTCAGGTTCAGGCCAGGAAAGAAAGTGTTAACCAGGCCCGCTAGGGCTTCGGCACCCTCTTGTTTCAAAAGTAGACTGTTGCTAAGGGCT